TTATTTTTTCCGGGGTACCCTATTTAAAAGGTAATTGCTTGACAAAATAACTTCACCCCACATATTTTGAGGTAATCCTGAACTTATTAACATCGTATTCATCATTTCCTTTAATGTGCGATTTTTCCGTACAACAACACCATTTGATTGAGGTGAGTAAGGTGCAGTTACTTCATGAACAATTTCATATTTTGCACAATAATCACCAATAGGTGTTTCATATTCACCACCTCGATCACTTCTTAACCTTTTAATTCTCCGGTTAAGTTGATTTTCAACTTCATTCTTGTAGAGAATGAATTTTTCCAAGGCTTCATCTTTACTTTTAAGCAAATACACATAACAGTATTTTGTGCAATCATCAATGAAAGTGATAAAATATTTATTACCACCTCTTGTTTGAACAAATTTCAAATCACAGACATCTGTGTGAATCAATTCAAGGGGTTCAGTGTTTCTTTCAATTGTTTGAAAGGATGACCTTGTTAATTTTGCTTCTACGCAAATCTCGCATTTATGGTTTGAATTGATTTGAAAGGAAGGAATATGATCCAAATTAATTAGTCTATGCAAAGTATCGTAATCAACATGACCTAGTCTACCATGCCATAAATTGGAAGACTCAAGCAAATAAGCAGAAGATTTATTCTTATTATTCACAATAGTCATTACATTCAATTTGAACAACCCATCGGTTGTATATTCTTTCCCTGCATACATTCCAGATTTGGATGATATAACTTTATCCGATTCAAAAACCATGCAAAAGCCATACTTGTTCAGCAACGATCCAGAAACAAGGTTCTTGCAGATTTCTGGCACATACAGAATATCGTTCAAAGTCAATGTTTTGCCAGAAGTCATCTTTAGCAACACCTTACCTTGACCTTCAATAGCAGATGAGGCAGAGTTCCCCATGAACATTTTTTCCCCTTCAATTTTTTCAAAGGTAGTGAACAGGTCTTTGTTTGTGCAAACATGTCTTGTGGCTCCAGTGTCAATCCACCATTCTTTCGGATTTGACCCCATCATATTCACTTCAGAAACAATAGCAGTCAGGTTCATGTTTTCCATGTCTCCCTCGATTCTATCAAGCAAGTTTGCTTCATGCTTCTTCTTCTTTGGAAGCTTACATTCAGTGGACTTGTGACCTTTTTTGTCACAGTTGAAGCACTTCCCTTGAAATTTCTGCTTAGAGATTTTCCCTTTTGCCTCAAAATTTCGATTTGACTTTTTGCCTTTGGAGTTTTGCTCTTGCTTATATTCCACAATATTTGCTTTAGCATCAAAAGAATTTATTGCCTTGCAATCAGAACCCCTGTTGTCTTCTTCAATTTGAAGTCTAACAATAAGGTCTTCCATACTCATCTCTTTGTGCTTGTGCTTGTGATAGTTCTTGAAATCCTTCCACCCAGGAGGTAGCTTTTCAATAACAGCAGCTACTTGAAAGGTTTCACTCAAAATCATGCCTTCAGCTAGAATTTCATGCAAGATAATCTGAATTTCTTGCACCTGACTGATAACAGTATTGGAATCCACCATTTTATAGTCTAGAAATTTTTCGACGACAAATTTCTTTGCCCCGGCATCTTCGGTTTTATATTTCCGATCCAAGGATTCCCATAATGCCTTCGCCGTCTTGTGTACTTGATACACGTTATACAGTGAGTCATGCAAGCAGTTCATGACATAATTTCGACAAAGGAAATCGGAGTGCTTCCAAGCATCAACAGCACTGATAGCTTGTGCATCAGTTAAGCCTTCAGACAGTTTTGGAGCATCCTCACTTAAGAATCTCAAGAGATTCAATGTTGTCAAATAGAATAACATCTTTTGTTGCCATGTCTTGAAGTTCAGGCCATGGAACTTCTCAGGTTTCTCACTATGGTTGGTAGAAACCGTAGGAGTAATCATACCTTCAGGTCGTTTCACAATAGTGCTAGAGGCAGAGGCATCAGAAGTAGAATTGTTGGTTTCTCTTCCTGTATTGTCAGCCATTGAGAACAGAATCTGTTTTAAGACTGTTAGTGATAGAGGCTAGTACAATATAGGAAAGAATAAATACAAACTGGAAAGAAAGAAATGATTGAAAATAACAATCCGAGACTTGTGAGCACAATTTCCTTAAAATAGATTCGCCCCCTACAGGTTGAGTGCTTGAGGTTCAGTAGGCATTTATCTCCCAGGATACAACGGATTAAAGGTGAAAATGTTAGCACCAAACTTCTTCACCACAGCGAACTCGAACTAGAGCAATATGGAACACTATAAAAGATGAAGATGCAAGAAGGAAAAATAGAGAGAGCGATTGTTTTTTAAACAAAAAGAGAGTTATCTATTTATAGATGCTGGCCAAGGGTGATTGTAGAAATTGGAAACAAATGTTAAATTCCACTTAATTATCTTTTCACGTACATACATGTATTTTTGATAAGAAAGCTCCAAATTCATGTATCAATAATTAAGTACATAAATACTTAATTCCTAAGTACATGAATCCTTTCTCGAGAAGAAAACTCCAACTTCATGTATCAATAATTAAGTACATAAATACTTAATTTCTAAGTACATAAATCTTCAGGTACATGAATGATAGATAATTATCCTTGAATTCTATCAAGAGTGCCATTATGAGAACGATTTTCTCATTCACTCTACAATGGATTTTTCCATTTTTCCAACAGTACATTATTCGTGAACTACAAGTTGAGCTTGTTTTTCAATTAAGGTGATGATGACATACCATAATGTCCTTTGTAAAGGAGACATCCACTGGACTTCATTTTTAACGGGGCATTTAAAAAATGTTACAGTCTTCTAAACAAATTGCCATTTCATTATTAATAGCATTATACTCGTACAACAACTACACCACATATCTAAGTTAGCATTCGTCTTACAAAATTGGCATGACATGAATCCAGCAAAGTAATCCAACGAAAAAGATACAAATTTATTGGTTCATATCTGACTTTAACAACAAAAGTCGTAGTATTACTATTAAAATCAGCAGTTCAATATACCAAGATGATGAACTCTCTCTAGGGCTTTTTTTAAAAAAAAATAGAAAAAAGTTTGGATGAGTTCGATTTCGATCATAATTACGAGTCAAGGCATGTTTCACTTGCAAGAGTTCTTATAGATTATCCATCAATGCAGCCTTTACATTAACAACAAAATTTGAACACACGATTTTTTGTGAGGAATTGATCCGTTCTTACCGACTAAACTAACTTGTGTTCGCACTTTAGAAACTTAAGTAGAAAAGATTTTACTTAAATAGGAAAAATTTTATACTTTAAAACTAAAGTGTCTCACTTTAAAGTTTAAAAATTTAAGTGAAAATCAAGTATAGATTAAAAGTCCAAAGTAAAATTAACTCTTATTTTTAAACTTCCAACGGTTAAAGACCCCATAGGTTGTGAACTCTTAACATGAAATAAGGATTTAACACTTTTATATATGTCTGCCTTCGCGAAGATAATAAAGTTGAAATTAAGTAGAATCAATAAACCAATGCCTCAGGAACACCGTGGGCTCCAAACAGCTAGTCCATCATAAGAAGAATACAAAGTAGGCACAAATTGTTGTATATGCCAATGTATAATCTTAAGGGTCCACCCTCAAGTTTCAAGTATAAGCCTAATTAACATTGTTTAGGTCAAAACAAGATAAAATCTACCCAATTCAGTATATCCATCCCATTTCAGCAAAGGTTATACCCTCAAAGAAACCAGCTTTTTGATAAAAAAAAAAATTAGAAAAACAAACCTGAAGAGGCATAAGGACAAAAATCCTGATTAAAAAAATGATAAATTACAAATAACTCCACTATAGTTTCATCTATTAGTACATGACCCTTTAATATTTTAAAATGTCAATTTTACTCTCTATAGTTTCATGTAAAGTCAAAACTTGACAGAAAATAACCTATATAACGTCGTTAATTAAAATACTAGTAGTGCTCTTACTTAAATACTAAATCAAATGACAAATATAATCGCCTGAGATAGAACCATTAATGGAGGGTCATGTGGACAAACGCAACATTTGTGTAAATCATAGAGGGATTAAGAAGATATTATGATTTGATCACATGCACTTTTGGAGCGCATCTATCTTGCATAATTGCCATAACTAATTATACATTCCAACCATTTTTTGCTTTATAGAAAACTATATGAGGGTTATATAGCTATCTTAAAATCTTAAAGGGATCATCTGACATTATGTAAAGTCACAAGAAGTTATATATAATTTACCCTAAAAAAATCACCAGCTGGCACGCAAAGAGACATCCGAACGCACAATTAAGAAAATCACGAAAAGAATAGATTTACCGTGAAATGGATTTATATCATTGCACATTCATGAACTGCAAGTTGAGCTTGTTTTTAATTGAGGTGATGATATGACATACATAAAATAAAAGTTTGATTAGTACTGAAAACTGTAGGCAGTAGGTGCTATTTAGAAAGTTATGGCAATTTTTGAAATTTTTGTAATACACAAACACACACACATATAAACACACGCATATACATATATACATTTATACATATATACTTACTGTAACAGTGTGATATATAGGAGATAAGAAAGTGATTATATATCAAGTGAATATTTTAAAAACTATCCAAAGCAAAATCTTGATAAGCTACAAGGATACTCAAACCAACAATGTTCGTAAACTTCAACGAAGATAGTAGCAAGAAAGATAATCAACATTCAGCTTGAGACCATGGTTACGACGGATTGAATTTGCATCCATCATGCTAGACAAGATTGACATTTACACTAAACTACATTTTTTTCATCTGCTTGGAAACAATTTAATTTCGTTCAAAACAATTAAATCTCTTACCTTATTTACAAACCAATACTTTTTCTCAAAAGAAATCATACACAAAACTCTCAAAATTTCATTACTACCATCGCTTCTCATAATTTAGAGTACAACATAAGAGATCTAGCTTGCAAAATTGACCATAAAATTATGACTACAAGACTTTAATCATGGTTGCAGGGTGCAAGATTTTCAAATTATCCGAAAAGTCAAAGGTAAGCATGGAGGCCTTGGGCCTTGATGGCCTGATTTCCATATGCAGTTCAGGCAAGATTAATGTTGGTTGCTTTTCAGGTTTGCCAAGCCACTTAGCTTGCATGTATTTATGCTTCCTCCATGGTGCCATATGCATTTTATTCTCCTTCATGCACTTCTTTGATGCAGAACACAGTATTTTGGTCAGAGTTTTGAGTCTTTCAGTCTTTCCAACGTATACATCGGGCAATCGTTCAAGTAGCCGGTTATATTCCTCACAACCTCTTGCCATCATGAATTCTGACTTGAAATTCAACTCAATGATCACCTTCAATTCACTTCTTTTAGGTCCTGTATCTTGAACTACTTCCATGTAGGTATGCTCCCCTAAAAGATTAGCAAAGATTGAATTAGTTAGGAGATCTGTAAGATGGGGCTTTATGTCTTCAAATGGGAAGTCAAGAAAAACACAAATAAAAAACCCATCAAATGTTGTTACGTGCTTTATTATCCACTATAAAGAGTGAAACATACAATTTTGTTCTGAAACTTCTGCTAATTGTATCGCTATAGAACCATTACACATAACTACATAAGTAAGGTCCACTAATTAAGATGTGCAAATTCGTGAAGTTTTAATGTATGGTATGAATTAATTTTTTAGACAATAATAACGTATACACTATTAAATACAAATTTTATGTACATGCCATGCATCTAATCATAATCATATATGCATATATATAAGATTAACTTATATAGCAATACACATTTTCTCTTGTAACACATATTATAAAACTACCTTTTATCCAATAATCAAAGTACAAAAAATTTTTTTCTTATTTCCAAAAGTGTGACATGGTGGCCGCAAGAAATGAAACACCCGGGACCACATTTCTAGCTCTAAAGTAAAAAAATTTGGTCCTAACAAATGAAATTTAGTAAGCAAAAAGCTACTCATAAGAGTTTATTTTGTTTCAATCACACAAGGCCGATTCAATTAACTAATAATAAATTTAACTCCACTTACCGGCTGGAATCCCCTGTGAGCTTTTCCACTTGGACTTGCAAATGGTGCAACTAAATCCACCTTTCTGAAGCCGATCACAGACTCCTTTTCGCATACATTTCCGGCAGCCATCAACAGCCCTTTTCTGGCAGACACAATTAACACCAGTGGCATTTAACTCCATTATAGCTTCCTTTGTTGCCTTCCTGATTTTTAATTCAAAAGACGTGGTCCGACGTAAAGTTGACTGCATCAAAAAACAACCAAGAATATGAATGTAAAATTTCAATTCATATTAAACAAAGGAAAACAGAATCAAGAAAAAGCAGCCACACACACACACACACACAGATATATATATATAAGCTAAATTACCAGCAAAAGCTCCTCTTGTGAGTCCCAAAAAGCTTTAGCCACCTCAGCCTTAGAACTATTTTCTGCGGTGTCGACAGCTGCTGCCTCGTCGTCCTCCTCCTCAACCTCATGATAAACGCCTTCTTTACCATCAAAGCCAGTGCTAGAAGAACCACATGATGAACTACCAGATGAAAACTCCTCAACTTCATCAAAGAAGTGAAAAATCATTTCCCCGGCATCTCGGGGTTCATAAAGATTGGTATCACCATTTTTTGCTGCTATTTGCCCTAACATTTCTTTGGAAACCACTTGAATTTTGTTAATGGCGGCCATGATAATGATTTCTTGAGATGCTAAGAGATGAAACTGCTTTTGCTACTTGAAATTTAGCAAGAAAGAAATGCACGTGAAAAATGGTCCTAGAGGCTAAGGTATTTATAAAGAGGGGCATATTCGGGCCCGAAGACGACTCGCTAGTGACTAACATACGGGCCGCCGCGCCCATGATTATCTATATTTTCTTTGAAGGCATGCCGCTACACCAGACTCGGAATGATTGATGTAAAACGAATGTGGATATTCTATAGCATGCTAGTGAATATAGGATGTGCCCTTTTTTATGCCAAGCAAATATGAAATTATAGTATAGTTAGACTTATTCGAATTTATTGCGGTATATTATGTACTCTATAACTATGTTCTGTAGGATACAAGTAATATTCCAGTGGAATATTCAGTCATTCATTACAGAAATGGTACTATATTGGGTTTTTTTCTTTTTAGGAAATAGCATTATAGTAGTTAACTGTTAACTCATCACAAATAGTTTGCTACCAATAACTATTTTTGTGTTCTATTGTTTGTGCTGTATGATTGAATTGGGAAAAAAATGTAATATTCAGATGATTGGAGAGAAAGAGCCCAATGATAAGCCTTTTTGGGTATGTGCTTAAAGCTGAAAATCTCTTGTGTCTTTTTTATTTATTTATTATTTGTAGAGTTTATTCCTTCTGATCTCGTGTTGGATCAAGAGTATATGCGCCAATAGTCTTATTAAACAGTAGCAATACAATAAAAGAATACCTTAGAACTTCTCTTGCTCGATTGAAATGGTTAAAGGAGAAGTCATAATAGATTCTGTAAATATGCGAATCAAATAAACCAGAGACTCGGTCAAAGAGATAATAATTTGTAAAGAAGTCCCCCACCCCATCTGGATTAGTATATCCATTACATCGACTAGCAATACAAAATAGATTTTACTATTGCAGACCTTGGGTTTTTTGCTATTTTTAAATCAATTAAACGTACATAATGTTCCTGTTACTAGCTCATATCCTTGAGATAATGCTGTTTTGGGTCCACTAGAAGAATTAATTTGCAATTGGTTGAGACTTGGAGAGAAATGTTATAAGTATTTTGTTGTGATCCCTCTTGTTTTTCTGGAGTAACTTTCTACATTAGGCCGATTGGTAGTCTATAGACAATCCATTAATATAGCTTCAACTTCTTGATTTTTACTTTTTTTATAGGTAATTGCAGAACCCTTTTTTTTTTTTTAAAGATGAAATGCTTAAGTATTTTCACATGTAGGTTTAGAGTCAATCTTCATCGGCCAAGAGGGTGGGGTAGGATCTATGCTTACCCTTTAGTACTAGCTAAAGTCATCAGATGTTAGAATGGGACATTCCAATAGCTTATGCGAATATTAGGTGGGAAAGCAGTCTAGGCCATTCGGCATCTGAATATTCAAAAACCAATCCTTACTCTTAGTCTCTTCAATTGAAGATGAACCTTCCTATCCTGCGGCTTTAAGTTCATAACTAAGGTACATTTTTTTTTTGGAGCTACTTTGAGTGCATCAAAGTCACTGAGCAATTAGAGGCCTGGATTCAAGCTTTCTTACTTTCTCCCTATTTTTTAAATTCCACGCCTCTCCTAGAGGCAAAAAAATGTTATTGAGTGGCCTTTTTTCTTTTTTTTTTTAAAAAAAATTTTGAGGCCGTTGGTAATTTCGGCTTATAATCCCTTTTGAATATTTTACCTTTAATTAGTTTGCGTAGCTAAAAACGCAACAACCATCACTAGATATGATCTTACCATGGACTTGCATGCAAAGTCTTCCCAATAATCATATGCAACATTTGTAACTTAATCAACTGTATAGCGCCTTACGAAGATCAGCTTGCAAAAAAAGAAAGAAAGAAAGAAATAAAACCAAACAGTTTGTGAAAAGAAATTCTTTGTTTTCGGTTCTATTGCCATACCTTTTCTGATTTATCTGCTAGATGTTGAGCATAATACCAAATTTTTGAGAAATGGAAGAGCTGGAGTGGGAAATTTACGAGGAACTTTAATCTCATGATGGATGTATACTTATAATGTGGAAAGATAATTAATTTGAGCACTTTAATGCTACTACTACATAAATAATCTACAAAGCGGCTTTTTTTGTTCTGTATCCTGATATGCATGTGCTTTTGCAATTGATTTGAAATCATTTGGGGACTTTAACTGGTAAGGCATGGGGTTGTAGTGCTTTTCCTACTAAATCCAAGGGGATCCAATATCAATGGGCAATAATTTTTGGGACCTAAACTCAATAAACACATCTTTTAAGGCCTAAAACTAACTTACTAGTTAAAACATTCACACTGATGATGCTAAAAAAAAAATATTCACACTGAAGAAAGCAAAAATATTTGTCAAAATCCAATCATTGAAGCTTCTAGCTGGTCATTCACTAAGTAGAGAAGAGAAGAGGGGTTTTGTGTGTGGGGGGGGGGGGGGGAGAATAATCAATCAGAAAGAAAACACAAGGGCCCAAAAAATTGCAGAAAAAACAAAATATGGATTGGATCCAATCGATGATAAAGAAAGGCTTTATTTTATATTAAGCTACTTGAAGTTCCTTATCTCACCAGTTGGCATGCAAAAGCGACATCCAAAAGCAGCAAAAATATAGAATAAGCTGAAATGGATCTATAAGTTGCACATTCATGAACTGCAAGTTGAGCCTGTTTTCAATTAAGGTGACGATAACATACTTATATACCATGTCGTCTTCTTTAAAGAAGACATCCGCTGGACTTCTTCTTTAACGGGTCATTTCAAAAATGTTTCTGTCTCTAAACAAAATATCTTTTCGTTAATCAGTTTGCACTATCCTCGTACAACAACTACACCACATATCTAAGTTAGCATTCGTCTTCCAGAATTCGTCTGATAGAAAGAATCCAGCAAAGCAAATACAACGAAAGAGATGTACCTTTATTGGTTTATAGCTCACTTTTTAACAACAAAAGTCTACCTAAATCACGAACTCCCTTTGTGGCTTTTTGGCTTGAGCTACACTCGGGCATCAGCTGATTGGTATAAAGTCAATATATGTTAGAAAATGGTTTCTTACTGAAGAAATGTTCATGACTGTTATTCAATGCTTCTAAGACATTTCATTTTTGTATCATCTATCAACGTAAATTTTTTCTTTTCCAATTGAAAGTCTGCATTTGATTGTACTTTTTGTAATGCGTCAGGAGTCACCAAAACATTATATATCTTTTTTCAAAAACAAAACGTTTGTATACGGGTTCAAACAACCAACGTATTGTAACTCCATATAATTGGGTCAGCCAAAGTTCAGATTTGCTTGTTTTATGTCCCTTCCCATGCTTTAGCTTTCCAGAACTTCTATGGAATTAATTTAAAGTTAATTAGATTCTTGAGAGCTCACAGATACTTTACAGACTCTTTAAACTTTGAGGAAAAGTTTAGTTATACACTTTACAGGAAACAATCAAATTCTTTTAATAAAGTCCTCAAATTCGAAATTAGTTTAAAGTCTTTAAGTCCTTCTTAATCCAAAACACTAGGGAGAAGGCCCATGCAAAGCATGGGAGTTTATACCTGTGATGTTGTTAAATAATTTGGTAATGTTGGACAATTTGTTTTTTCCTTAGGTAAGGCATACTATTAATGGTAGCCAAAAATGTCATACTAGATGTAGATAAAACATTGCATACTATTATAGCATAAAATCAGTGAGAGAATTATAAAAGTTTACACGATCGTAGTGAAGGGATAATAGACATAGTTATAGTTCAAATTGAGGGTTGATACTGAATGGTTCTACTATTCAACCTCATATTATTCACATAGATAGATAGATAGATAGATAAAGTAGTAGTCCTAAGAGGTAAGTAGGCAAATAGCTAACCAACTACTCTAACCATCAAGAGATCTTTAAAACTTTACTTGGGTGTAGGTCAAGAGATTAAATCCCCTTACCTACATTCTAAAAATTCAAGCTTTCTCGGAAAAAGAAGGTAAATAACTATAGGGATGAGAAAGGATATGATTAGATTTCTGCTTCTTTACGTACGATGCTTCTTGGTTGGTGGTTGAGCACCTTCTGCAAAACTTCTATTTCATGAGTGTTTCTTGGTTGATGGTTGAGCGCCTTCTGCAGAGCTTTGAGTTTCACCAATTATGGTCAAAGCTTCTGGAGTGGAGCTTGGTTCGACTAAATTCTATTTCATGAGTTCAACTAAATTGTTACTTCCAAAAACTTCTATTTCATGAGTTCAACTAAATTCAATAAAAAAATAAAAAAGCAAATGAATATAGAGACTTGTCTATTCAAATAGCAATTTCAACCCGCACACACTATCTCATACACTTAACTATTGAAATAAAAAATTGCATCATCTCTAATATAATTTGAAAACTAGATCAATTATTCACACACTTGTCAAAGACGCCACACAACTGTAATCAATGCAATAAAAGTGTAATCACATTTAAACAACTGATGACATGCATCAAGTGGGAATACACAATTATCTTGTACCTTGAGAAACAAAATGCAATCTAACAAAAAAAACTACCCACACTTCACCTACCTGCAATAGCTATGACAAAAGCTAATTTAGAAATTTTTATTGTGCAAACAAAGCTATACAGTTCACAAAGCTAAAAGCACGATTGAAAATGAGCATACCTTTGCAAATCTAACTCTAATGGTGGGAAACAGAAACATTTGAAACCACAATTTCATATATTAGTGATTGCCATTATTGCCACCTAGTTCAAAAACTAATCTACAAATGGTGGAGAACATGGGGGTTTTTCAGTTACATTTGTGAGTTGAGTTCAAATGATTCTTAACCTCTCACACTTTAATGAGCTCTTCAACAAGCTACAATTACTGGTTCAAATAAATGTCTTTTGTTAGAAGAACTCAATTAATGTTTCTTGAGTTTTAACGATGATGAAGACAAAACTTCCTACAGTTACAGTCCACAAATGGTTCTTCTATTTTGGCCCATTATATA